GTACTCACACGCTACAAGACCCGGGAGCTGCTCCACGGTCGCTCCCGCCCACCCTTGGACCTCATCTCCTGGACGGCACCAGTCTGCGGGGAGGGGGCAGAGCTCCGTCAGCACCGCTGCGGGACCCATCACCCAACTGTGCCACCCCGTCACCCGAGCGCAAGACCTGTCACCCAAAGATGAGGCCACCTCTCCCCACCCCGACACCCGTCATGCACCGGTGAGACTCCACCACCCAACTGTGGGTCTCTGCCACCCCAGCATTGACACCCATCACCCAACTGGGACCCACCACCCCCATAGCAACACTCATCACCCAGCCATGACACCCACCACCACCCAACCATGACACCCAGTACCCAACCATGAGACTCTACCACCCCAACACTGACACCCACCACCCAACCACGACACCCAGCACCCAACCATGATACCCACCACCCAACTGTGAGACTCCACCACCCAACCGTACGACCCAGCCCCCCGACCGCGCGCGTGGGCAGGGTACCATGGGCAGGCCTTCGCCTGCGGCCATGTCGCCAGAGCCAATATGCGTCAGGTGGACGAAGTTCATGGGCTCCCCGATCATGGAGCGGTCGATCCGTCTCCTCCTCTTCTTCTGTAAGCGGAGGAAGGCTGTCAGCCCCCGCTGAGCCCACGGCCCCAGGGCCCCAAACCCTCCCGAACCGGCCAGGCTGAAGCTACTCACGGGCTGTGGCTTCTCTACGACGCAGCAGCCCAGCTTGTGCCAGAAGTCGCTCATATTCGCGGTGGCGTCCAGCTTCCCTCCCTGCCGGGCTGGCTGCGAGGGGGGACCGCGCCGGTGCAGAGACCCCCACGTGGCCTCACTCCATGGGGGGACCTGGTCGGGGTGGCCGAGTCGGTGGGGACACACCTGGAGGGAGGCAGAGCAGGGGAAGGGCTGCGTCACAGCTGGGAAGGGTTTGTCCCCAGGGGCAGGGACATGTCGGAGCTCGATGGCGGGTGGAAGGGGACAGACGCGTTGGGGACGTTGGGGTGCAGGATCAGCCCTGACCCACAGCTGCCCCCAGCTGCCCCTCGGCTGATGCATCTGGTTTGGGAAACTGAGGCCCAGCGTGGCGAGGAC